AAATTTTTAAAAATTAAAATCAGCTCAATATTATTTTTACTAAGTAATTTTATTATGTTTATTATCCCCGCATTTTAAAATGTATGTCGATCCTTTCCGTTTATCACGAATTGCGAATTAAAGTTTTTGATTAATTTTTTGACCATTTTGACTTTTAATTCGACTTTTGGCCTCTCAAGTTAAAATATTTCAACTTTGGGCTTTAATTCCGACTTCATGTATATTTTATACTGCTTTTTGTATTTTTCAAAAAAAAAAAAAAAATTAAATAAACAAATTTTTATTTTTAAATCTATTATGATTTTCTGTATGATTTCAGCAACTAAAACACGTTTTACCATTAACTAAAATACATTGCTTCAGTATTATTTCCCTATTACTATTAGTATCAATTTCGTATTGATTACATCCTGATTCTGTCCTTTTGATACGGAAATTTGCATATTCCTGTACTTCCCATACATGTTGTTTATTATCTAAAATTCCATATTTTCCATATGGTTTATTCCATATCTTTTTCGTATTTTATTTTTTATAAGGTCGAAGCAGTTAAAAAATGAATAAGGTACAGTTCAAACTTTCTATATAAAATAATAACGGACCAAGAATTTAAGCCCAATTTAAGCATGTCCATATATAAATTATTATTGTCTATAACAGGTTCTCTATAGTCCACTCTCTACAACAAATAATGGACTGAAAATTTAAGCCCAATTTATATGTACATATATAAATTATTATTATTATTGTGTATGACATTTTTTCAAGAGTGAACTGTAGATAGGAAACAAATTAATGTAATAAATATTTTCTAGATACTAAATTAACAAAATTTTAAAATTTTAAAATGAATTACTTTGAACTGAGTTGGGCTCTTCATAAAAAAGCGAAATTTTGGAAACCATGGTGGAAATAAATGCATGATTAAGCAAGTAAAACAACTTCTAAGAGCCTATTTTTTTGTCAGGAAATGTAGATAAGAAATGCTTACAGATCTAAAACAAAAGATAGAAACAGGTGAGTTGGGTGCAAATGAGTTACCAAAAATAAAAATTGAATAACTCACACGTTTTAGTAGAGAACATAAAAAAGAATCAGCTAAGAAAGAATTGGACATTATGCCATAAAAAAAAATATGATCAAGATTGAAATAATGCAAAAACGGGTTGGACAAAAAAATATAGAAATGTTACAAATACGCGTCATTTCTTGATCTGCACTGTATATGTATTACAAATTCTTTTTAGCTTTTAAAAAGCTTCATATCATAAATTCTTTTTTTCTTTATTTTTTTCCAGCTTTTAAAAAAGCTTCATTTCACAAATTCCTTTTTTATTCAAAGTTTTTACTTTTAAAAATCTTCGCGAATAAGCAACATGTTAAAAAATAAAAAGGGATTGTTCCTGGTGGTATATAGTATGGATAGTTATGTATAAACTGGATAACTATATTAAAAATTCTATAATATCCTTCCTCCAACAAAAGTTAATCGGACCTTCCGAGCCCCGAGGGTATGATGCAATGGAAAGTTCAGTGGAGGCGGAGGGCGCTGAATTTTTAAATTTGTATTTGGGTATTTTTGATTTTTATTTTTTCAAAAAGCCTGTTGAAGCTTCTCATATGTCACGGAAAAATTGCCCCCTCCTAAAAGGGAGGGATTCCAGAAAAGGATCTTGTATATGCATAGAAAGGATATTTTATTTAAATTTGAAACCAATACATTATCAAATTTAAACATTATTTTTCAAAGAAATCAAGGAATAGGAAAGATAGGTATGGGTTTACAGAGTAAAAGATTCTTGATTTCTTAATTTAATTTTTAATGCTCTATTTATTTTAATTTTTAAACTTACCATTACTATCATTTTATTGGCAGAGCCATTTTTATTTGGAGCAGTGATGCAGGTTGACAGAATCAAATATAAAGGTTTCTGGTATATTGGTATGTCAACCTGACAGTAACACAGTTGAACCTTGTTATAACAAAGTATAACCTAACTAAATATATTTTATAATGAGGGTTGACTGTAGTATATATGGCCCTTTCCAAGATTGATTCCTTAAAATTTTTATTTCTGCATGGTCTTAGTATTTATTGCTTGGGTGATGCAATTTATCTAACTTAATTAATTGATTCTTTACAAACCGAAGAAAATAACACCAAAGTATTAATATAATAATCATCATAAACATCATAATGAATATGTACAATATATGAAGTCAAAGGCATTAATTCACATTAAAAAGGAAGGATTAAATGATAATAAAAAAGATAAGTCATGTTTTATTTATTTTTAACTAAGATGTAGAAAAATACATGATTACCTATATATAAAAGTATTAAAAATATAAGATAGAAAGCCACCAGAGCAATTTTATGAGAAGAAATGATGATTATTACTATACATGAAATGGTAATTATTTTGCCAAAAACGTAATATATAATACATAATTATGAAATTATTTATGAAATTAATAGGACCTCGAACAATTATAATTGAACTGGCATTAACAAAAGCGGGTATAAATTGGCATTTTTTTTTTGAGGAACTGGTATGTAAAACAGGTTAGAGCTAAAATAACTGGTATGTAAAAACGGGTATTGTAAAAATAAGTAGAGTTCTATTCTTTTTTAAAACATATACTTTACTGTTAATATTCTGCTTTTAATTAACTAATGTTTCATTGCCACTAGTCCATCCTTCAGCTAATAGCTTTGGATCACATGATTGACACCATGCAAAATGGGTTTCATATCTATCACAAGTTGGACAATTACTATATACTTCATTTCTTTCCTTTGAATATTCATCATCGTCATTTTTATCAGTAGAAGCATCATCAGTATGTTTATTTTTATTTGAAGCATTTTCCATTTTTAAAAATTATTTGTATTATAATTTATATAATTATTAAAGTTTTTTCTAAAAGAACTTCTTTTAATATTAGCCATAAATGCATATCACAAGTGGAAACACAAAATAATATATGACACCCTTTTACATTTTTTTATTTTACCTAAATTGCGGCAATTCGGCATTACATAAATAAATTTGGTTTACGGCTTTACGACTTTAGTATTAGTATTAGGGTGCCATGCTGTAAAATCGTAATTAGAGATGGGCATTATGCAACTTTTTGAACATTAATTTGCATAATGCGCATGATGATCTTTTCTATAACTGATTTATTTAAAAGTATAAATTTTATTCTTTGTAAATATAACAAATATAA